ACCGAATTGGTTATACGTCTTCTAGTCTTGAGTGGTCTTCATTCTCCTCACTGAATGTATCAAGAAACATAACAGTAACAATATCAGTCAAAAGCATATCATAAACTATCCGTAATCAAAGAAGAAAACTAAACCAACTTACTTGTGCGTTGTTGTTGTTGTTCCCGTTGACCTCGTGAAACTTCTTCTCGCATGATATGGCTGAATGGCGATTGCCGATTGCTGCACTGATCATTCCCAAAAACGGCTTGAGACACTCATACAGGTGGACAATTCTGTCGGTGTCTTCTTGAGTCCAAGTTTGAAAAAAAAACAAAATAGTGTTAAAACATTGTGTGATTGATAAACAAGCTAAATGACCACATTTTAAAACCCCACCTATGTTAGGTGGGCGTGTTGTTGCTTGAAGTCCATTGGAGTGTGCTTGCCATGAAAAACTTCAGTGGAAATTGTATTCCACTTGAACGCAAATACGCTTGCCTTAGAGAGAAGGAGTATCTCATCCTTACGAGTCCACATATCGTTATTTTTAAATCTGAAGTTAACAAGAACGAATTAGTTTAAAATTGCCTAAAAAAATACTTTCTTTTATCCAAAACCATCCCAGTAAGCAAAAGTAAAAAGCAGAACAATGGCTTTGTTTTTTTTTTACCAAAACAGAACGAGTCAGAAGAATCCAAAACCTTAATTCGAACAAAAGGAAACGAGTTTACGCCTACGACGTTCCTGTACACAAACCCTAATTCGATGAAGTAGGTTTACGAACAAGAGGAAACGAATAAAAAGAAACAAGAAAAGTTGTCATTTTTAGTTTATCAAAACAGAACGAGTCAGAAGAATCTAAATCCTAATTCGATGAGGTAGGTTTACGAACAAGAGGAAACGAACAAGAAGAAACAAGAAAAATTGCCATTTTGAAAGAAAACAAATTTTTAAAGCACACACAAATTTCACTAACCATTTTTAAAGAAAACTCTAAATTCAATCCCTAGTTCAATACAGGTGGACGATTATGTCGATGTCTTCTTGAGTCTAGGTCTGAAAAAAAAACAAAAGTAGAGTTAGAACATTGTGTGATTAATAAACAAGCTAAATGACCAAATTTTAAAACTGCACCTCTTCGGTTAGGTGGGCGTGTTGTTGCTTGCAGTCTAGAGGAGTGTGCTTGCCGTGAAAAAACTTCAGTGGAAATTGTACTCCACTTGAACGCAAATTCGCTTGCCTTAGAGAGAAGGAGTCTCTCATCTTTACGAGTCCACATATCGTTGTTTTTGAATATGAAGTTAACAAGAACGAATCTATAATATATTGTAACTAGGGATTGTCCACGGGTTGCGTGAGGTTTAAAATTAACATGGTAAAAATTAACTTAATAATTTTTAGTTATTAATTGTGTATTTAATATTATATAAATTTGGTGTTTAAACTAAATAATTATTTAAGTTAGAAGATTAAGCATTTGTAGCAAATTGTTAGATATACACACCAT